AGTTGTATGTTTATATGTTTGAGCACTATACATGTTGATTGCTAAGCACCTCACATAAACTAGCTTAAGTCCTTATAACCACTGAAGTATCATTCTGTCTTGCATAGGAGGAGACTAAGGTTCAGAGATTTGAGACACATGCTCAACAGGCAGGAGGTTGTAAAGCCAGGATCGAAACCCAATGTGGTGTGGCTAAGGCTCATGGTTGTCCAAAGATATTCCCTTATATAAATTCATGATCAATCATTCACATTGTCATCTGCAGAGCTGTGGGAATTTGTTGGGGGTAGAAGGTAGGGAGTGTGATCAGGGACACTAAAGACATTGCACATGGTGCCCCCTTCTACCAACCATGGAAAACTTGTCCTAAAGTTTCTTCTCTCCTGGCACTTACCAGCTGGCAGGATAAATGGCCAATAAAACACAAGTAGGTGCTATAGTTACATAAAAGTTAATTTCACGCCAGGGCGTCATCATGGCTGTGACATGGAACAAGGCAGAGTAAAGTCTCAGAAGGTGACTGGGGACACGGAGACAGGAGGTCCAAAGACCTGTCCGAAGAGATGACGTTTAAGCAGTCAGGCTTGCGAAGAAGGTGGCTCTAAAAAGACACTCTTTTTTTTTTTTGTTTATTTATAGCAGGCCTTTTATTTTACAGATTGCTTTAGTTTAAGTCCAAACAACCCAGTCACTTTAACATGAGAATTCTGAGAAAAAAAAGAAAGAAACAGAGGTAAAATTATAGATGAAGAGTATCAACCAATCACAATATGTAGACGGTATTTAAATCCCTAAAACACACAAACTTAAAACAAGAGATATTAGAAAACAAATCTGACTCTGAACACTAATGAGGCATGTGTTGAGAAGGGATGGACTTTTTAGCTGTGTAAATGATAAGGTGACATATTTTAGAAAGTTCATTTCCTTTACACTATCTACGCGGCTATGAAAGAGTCATAATTTAGAGCTGCACAAGCGAACATGCAGATGAAATGATTCCTAGGAGTATGGCAGAGGGCTGAATGAGGCGGAATTCAGGCATCACTAAAGCTCCCAGAACCACTAAGTACAATGAGCTTGGCTTGTCTGTGAAAAGACCAAGACAGGTATGGACAGAAGTATGAAGACACCAAAGCTCTTAGGTCCTTGCCTTGATCACATCCCCTAGGGATAACTTGCTGGGGTGAGAATGCAACAGGAGCAAGGGGTGGCATGGTGGTGGAGGTCGTTAATAAGCTTGGGACTCTATAAGGAACAATCAAAGGGCTCTGTCATGCTTAGCACCCAACCCATGGGGCTACCATCAGTGCCATGAGGGATCCGTCATTTACATTGCAGCCCTCATTGCTTCTGCCTATGGCTGTCTTTGCCCAAACACCAAACAGTGACAAACTACTTTCCAACCACTGGAAAACACTGGGGCTGGTTGCAGCAAATCCCACTTAATGCAAAATTGCAGCTCCATCTGGGCTCCCGAAGCCTTTCACTCTTGTCACCCGTATCTTGGGCTCAGGGTGTGTGGGACAAGGAAAGAAGTAATTCTCCTAAGGAATGAGAGAGGACAACCTGCAGCCCTGCCACTCATCCACTCACTCGGGGTAAGTCCTTCTTTCTGAGCGCCATCCTTTTCTCAGAACCACGGCTGCCTCTGGCTAGATCATACGGTAATTCATGGTAATTGAGCACAGATATGAAAACATTTTCCTCAAGATCGATACTGTATTTGCTGAATTGTTTTCTGTCTTCCCAACCAGCCTGTAGACTCTCTTGACTATTTCAGCCATACCAGTACAGGACATAAGGCCTGGCCCCCAGTAGCCATTGGTCAGTTAGTCACTCCATTAGCAAGCAGAACAATTGGCCCCTTGTACCCACTGGTTCTTCATCTTTGGATTCGACCACTTAACTGTTCTTAACTGGAAAGAAGCCCATCGGTATTGAACATGTACAGATTGCATGCATGTGTGAGTGCACACATGTTTATGTGTGTGAATGTGTATACATGCACATAGAGGTCAAAGGTTGATATTGAATGTCTTCCTTCACTGAACTTTTCATCAATTTGGTTAGTCTGGTTGACCAACAAGCACTGGGGTTCTTATCTCTGCCTCCTTGGTGCTGGGATTACAGGTTTGCGCTACTGTGCCTGGCTTCTGATGTGGGGGAAAGAACTCAGGTACCCGTGCTTATGCTTACAAGCATTATACCATCTGAGCTATATCCTCAGGCCACTGAATGGACTTACCGTGTCATTAGTCCCTAAACAATACAGTGTAACTATTATAATATAGAATCCACATTGTACTGGTTACTGTGGGTCATCTAGAGATGATTTAAAAATACACAAAAGAATAATCATAGACTATACATATGTATTGTTCCATTTTATATAATGGGCTGGTATATCCTCAGAGTTTGGTATCTATGGGATCATAGATTATGGAGCGCTTATTAACTGTCTGCAGATTGAGTGGTAGGTAGACGTTGGAATCTTTAGGTTTTTAATATCACCAGAAAGGATTTATCAGGATTTATCTCAGTCAGACCCAATGGGCACTGCATGAGTCATGTATGATTAGGTTTCTTTGGATGTGGTTCCATGTACACTTCTGCCTAAATAAGCTGACTTGTCCATTGTGCTGGCTCATTTTATGTCAATTTGACACTAGCTAGAGATATCAAAGAGGAAGAGGAACCTCAATTGAGGATATGCCTCTATAGGATCCAGCTGTAGGCGAGCATGTAGGATATTTTCTTAATCAGTGATTGATTGGGGAGGGCCTAGCCCATTGTAGGTGGTGCCATCCTCAGTCTGGTGAACCTAGGTTCTGTAAGAAAGCTGGTTGAGCAAGCCATGAGGAACAAACTGGTAAGCAACACACCTCCATGCCTCTGCATCAGCTCCTGCCTCCAGGTTCCTTTCTGCTTGAGTTCCTGTCCTAACTTTGTTTGAGGAACTGCAATGTGGATGCATAAGCTGAAAAAACCATTTCTTCCACAAGTTGCTTTGGTCATGTTATTTGATCACATAGTATTAACCCTAAGACATCTAATAATCTGTTTGTTCATCACAGTTGCCCTGGGATTTTCTCTTCTAGCTATTGATGTAGACAAGATATGTTACACTGTCTAGTTCAACACCTACCAGGAAGAAAGAATGACATTTAGATACTTATTAAAATATTTGTTTTGCTGGGTGTGCTAGGGGTACACCTTTAATCCCAGCACTACGGAGGCAGAATCAAGCAGATCTCTGTGAGTTTGAGGTCTGCCTGGTCTTCACAGTGAGTTCCAGGACAGTCAGGACTACATAGAGAGACCCTGTCTCAAAAACAAATAAAAAAGTATTCATTTTGACTAATATTTATTAAGAACCTTCAATGATGCTTAAGGGATCAACACCAAATAGGCCACCTATAGTCTCTATCTACAAGAAATTTGTGTGCTTGCAAGGAAGACAGGTAGCAATGAGCCTATTATAAACACAACAGTAGTTGACTACTCTCTGTCCCCTCCAGGCAGTTGACTTGGTCCAAGTGTCCTGGAAATTTTCTGGGAGGAATTCAGGGTTGTGCTAAGCCTAAGAGATGAGATTTAAAAAAAGAAGAAGAAGAGAAGAGACCTGAACTGGTAGAGGGACTAGCCAGCCTGAGGCCCAGGCGGACCTTGTTTTCTTGGGGGGGAGGAAGGGATGGTCTTAATGGTGTGATAATTTGGAAGACCTACAGTGGCAAAGCTCAACAGGGCCTTTCTGCTTGAAGAGCTCAGACTCATCCACTCATCCTCCAAACAACATGACAGCAATTTAAATGCCTGAGCCTGTTGGAGACATGAGCTCAGTTACTCTTTGAATCAGCATAACTAGTGAGTTATATGGTCACGCTACAGACAAAAAACTAGGGCACAGGGGCCTAAGAGCTTAACAGAATCTGAGCAATATCTTTGGCTCATCAGCCTTGAGGACAAGTACAGAATTGGAGGGGACTAAGAAGTGAATAGAAGGAGTGATTGTATATGTCTCCCTGGCCCAGAGGTTCTCAGAGACAGGGAAAATTGCTGTATCTAATGACTGTTTGGTGAAGCGCTATTAATAAATACTCAGAGATTCTCTAGGAACATGAATTATAAGCTCAATGTCCTTTATTTATGGCTAGAAACCAAATATGAGTGAGTACATCCCATGTTCCTCTTTTTGGGTCTGGCTTACCTCACTCAGGATAGTGTTTTCTATTTCCATCCATTTGTATGCAAAATTCAAGAAGTCCTTGTTTTTTACTGCTGAGTAATACTCTAATATGTATATATTCCATGATAAATCCGGACTCGCTGAACATAGCGGACAATGAGGAACACTGAGAACTCAAGAACAATCGCAGTGGGTTTTTGATCCTACTGCATGTACTGGCTTTGGGGGAGCCTAGGCAGTTTGGATGCTCACCTTATGAGACCTGGATAGAGGTGGGCGGTCCTTGGGCTTCCCACAGGTCAGGGAACCCTGATTGCTCTTCGAGCAGATGAGGGAGGGGGACTTGATCAGGGGAGGGGGAGGGAAATGGGAAGCGGTTGCGGGGAGGAGGCAGAAATCCTAAATAAATAAATAAATAAATAAATAAATAAATAAATAAATAAAAATACTCAGAGACAGAAATTGGAGTTCAACCTGAAGGTTAGAAAAGCAAAACAGTCACTGGCTCTTACCTCTACTTTAGTCCAAATGGCCATCCTGCCTCCAGGAATCTCAAAATGAGACTGAGAGTTGTCTCTTCCCATCATATAATCCTCTCTAGTTCTGGAATTAAAAGTGTGCACCACTACCACCTGGTTTCTATGACAAGCTAGTGTGGCTCCTGGGATTAAAGGTGTGTGTCATTGCTGACTGATCTGTAAGGTTGACCAGTGTGGCTGTTTTACTTTCCTTATCCTCAATGCAAGCTTTATTTTATTTGTTTTTTTTTTAACAGACCTAATTCACTTTTATTTTCCTTGTATAGAAACCCTTATGTGGTGGCCAGAGCTGGAGCCTGGGTCCTCTGAACAGAGACTCTGGTGTGGGTTTTCACAAGATGGTCAGTGAATTCCTGATAAGGAGACTTGGTGAACACAGTCTCTTTCCAGAGGTCGGGGGTCAGGTAGCTGTAGGTCTTAGAGATGGCATCAAAGGTGGCCTTGGCAAAGTTGCCCAGGGTGGCAGTACAGCCCCTGGCTGATGTGTAGCAGTCATCAATGCCAGCCATCATCAGTAGCTTCTTGGGCACAGGAGCAGAGACTATGCCAGTGCCTCTGGGGGCAGGGATGAGACGCACCAGCACAGAACCACAGCGACCTGTCACTTTGCAAGGAACAGTGTGGGGCTTGCCAATCTTGTTCCCCCAGTAGCCTCTCTGCACAGGGACAATGGAAAGCTTGGCCAAGATGATGGCCCCTCGGATGGCAGTGGCTACCTCCTTGGAGCACTTGACACCGAGACCTACGTGACTATTGTAGTCCCCAATAGCGACGAAAGCTTTGAACCTGGTCTGCTGGCCTGCCCTCATCTGCTTCTGCACGGGCATGATCTTCAGAACCTCATCCTTTAGGGAAGCTCCCAGGAAAAAGTCAATAATCTCAGATTCCTTAATGGGCAGGGAGAACAGGTAGATCTCATCTAGGGACTTGATCTTCATGTCCTTAACCAGGCGGCCCAGCTTGGTGACGGGAATCCACTCCTTGTCTTCAGCTTTACCTCCGCGAGCCCCGTGGCCCCTCAGATGGCTGCCGAATCCTCCGCGGAAGCCACCATGGCCTCCTAATCCTGGGCCCCCGGGTCCTCCCGGCCCTCCCGCTGCACCGGCGTCATCCGCCATTTGGTGTATTCCAGAAGAAGAAGAAGAGGCAAGCTTTATTTTTAAATATACAAATGAAATACCCCTACAGTTTGGGGATGCTTTTGTTTGAAAATTGCAAAAACTTGCCAGCAGAAAAAAATTCACTGGTCCACTCAGAGAAAGAGTCCTGTGACAAGACTGGCATCTCCCTGAGCAGCAGCATCAGAGGCCCATGATGTAGATAGAAGATGCTCAAAGAGCAGAGGGCTGCAGTGACTGGCCCAGGGTACCAATCTAGACAGCTTATTTACATGAGTTCACTCTGGTCACAATCCCATGGAAAGGGGCAGCAGAGAAGGTTATGGAGTGACCCGTGATGCCGAAGATAAGGCTAGAGAATCAGAGTCAGGCAGAAAGCGGGGGTCTAGGAAGACAGAGTGGGTCAGGGGTAGATGCCCGTGATTGGAGCCTGAGTGTTGACGCCTCAGCACCTGCCTAAGAGCAATCCCTTACCTGTTCTATATCTGCGCATTGTCCTTAAGACTCAAAGCACAGGGGAGACATCCAATTTGCCACACTGGGTCCTGCATCCCACTCTACCTGGGAGAGTTAAGCACCCAGGCCTTGCTTTCTCCTAGGACTCACACAGAGTAAGATGGACTTGGACACTAATCTCACTTGGTGGTGGGGAATGGGAAATGATTACAAGGGATGGCAGAGCAAGAAGAATGGAGCAGAAGTTCAAGTTCAAATACTTTCAGGGCCAGCTGAGCATGCAGTCCAACTGAGGCAAAAAGAAATCGCATTTAAAACTACACTTTGAAACCAATACACTATGTATGTATGATTCAGCTTGTGAGTCTCCCATGTGTAAAGACATTAAGATTGCATCCTTTAGATGGCAGGAGGCCTTAGAAGGAGTTAAACAAGAGGCAAGAGGAGTGTGACCGCCCTCCAGTGAACAAGGTTTCTGTGCCTGCTGTGTAGACGGCAAGGGGAAGGGAAAGAGGCAGGAGTCCCATCTCTGAGAGAGTCACTGTTGCCATCAGCACAGAGGCCGCAGGAGTTGGAAGCGGTCCATGGAGTTGAACTATTTATTCTTGTGCAGAAAAAGCAGCAGGCTCTGGGGAGAGTGAGGAACTCAGCAAATTCAGAGCTCAACAGACCAAAGTCCCCTTCCCACCTCCTCCCCCTCCAGAGTGCTTCATTTTTAACTCAGAAAGGACATTGTAAAGGGCACGTTACACAATGGGAGAGGAAGTCCAGAGGCAGACAGAGGGACTAACAGAGAGGACCGTGGCATTGGCAGCCCATGCATTGTTATTCTTTAAGGTAACAAGAAAAACGGTATTGATCCTGGATGGAGAACTTGGGCTTGGCTGTGCCCCGGGCTGTGGGAGGTGAGTGCCTGATCCAGAACTCCTCAGGGCACGCCGTGGAGGGGGAACAAAGTGGGGAGGGCAGCTGCAGAGGCTTCATGAGACATTCTTGTCTCAGTCTGGGGATCTCAAAATTTAGAGCATGGCTATTTTACTTGGAGGGGAGGAAGTCATGACTGTAGTACATGCTGCCTCTGGTGGTGTCCTTCATTGTTAGCTTGGCCAGTGAGTGGGCCGGGAGGTAAAGACACCTGAGTCCATCCCCACAGATGAGGAGATGAGACAGAAAACCTCTCAGACAGGACATGTGCAGTTCAGCTCAGGGTAGACTTCAGAGTCCAAGTCTAGTCCAGGGTCCCCAACTCATCTCAATCCCAGAGGGCTAAGCGTATGTCAAATAGCACCTTCTTCTGACTTGGCCACCAACATGATTCATGATAATATAAATAAGGGAATTAATTCCCATTGGTTTGGGATCCACGGATCCATAAAACAACGGGGATTAATTCAATTTCTCCTATGGGAGGTTAGGGCAGAGGAGAAGAAAGTCCTTGAGAAGCAAGAAGGCTTCCCACACAGTGTGAGTGATGAAGACTGGAGAATTCAGGAAAGGAGAAGGGAGCTGAAGGTGGCCCAGAGCAAGGCATGGATGCTGATAGATCTTTTAGTCAGATTTTCATGGCCTCCCAAGGTTAAGGAACTCTGGAACCAAAACATTGGCTGTGGTTTATAAATGGTTTCTGGCTTCTCTACGGGTGTCAGATGGTCCAAAGAAAGAATTTTCTGGCAGAGTTTAATGGACTAGGCCAAAGATCAACAAAGATTTTTCTATAAAACTTCAGATAGACTTTGTGAACCAAAAAGCAAAAGCTAGGATATAATGAAGTTATAAGACAGAAGAAAAAAAAAAGTCCAGCAATTTTTATGGGTAAAAATGAAAACATTATAATAATAGCCAAGTCCAGTTTTGAAAACATAAGAGGAAGGTACCAGTTTGAGGAAATAACATCTTATCTAGCTGGGGTTAGAAGTTAGAGCCCCTCCCTGAATTCAGTTAGAAATGTCCATCCATCAAGGTAGATCTGAGACGGATTTGATATGTCTGTAAGTGTCTCTTCCCGTGGATGGATGAGGCAGGCGACACCACTGCAGCTTTGACGGTGCCTGCCACACCAGCAGAGCTGATGTCAGAACGGCTCTAGCCAGCTGGTGCTGCAATAAAAGACAGCCAGCCAGGGTGTAAATGAGCAAGGGTGTCTGGTTCCAGTGACGTTTTCCTGACACTCGGTTTGACCTTCTTGTGATCCTTACACATCATAGAGGGGTTTTGATTTTCCTTTCAGTCATTAAAAATAATGTAAAATCATTCTTGGTAAGTGGCCAGCCAGCGATGGGCTCTAATGGAGCAGGCCAGTGGAGCTGTTCATCATTAGGGCTGTCAGAGGTCCTCCTTGGTGGTGCCTGGTTACCCCTAGTGCCTAAACAAGGAGGCAAAGACTTAAGATACAGTGGGAGAAGAAGCGGGAGTCGCTTGTTTCCCTGGGAAAAGATTCTTTTCCCAGGCTTTAGTTCTGGAGTAAGAGCTGTTTGGACAATGCCTGACTCCTAAGTTGGGCAGACATGTCCAACAGTGCCCTCCTTGACTCAAGACTTTTCATTACAGATCTCATGGATGTGCGAGTGGTCCATCTAGGCCTCCAAACCTGGTTACAAACCCAGGGTTTCCAGAAGTCAGAATAGAGCTGCCTAGAGAAGGCAGCCTCCCAGGTGGGGAGGGGCGTGCTGACAGCAGGGCTTGGCAGAGCAGGAGCAGTGGTGGAGTGTGCCCCATGTTTATCAGTAAACTAAAGGCCCCATCTCAGCAGGGGGCAAGGTAGTGAGGCAAGACAGGGCTGGAGACAGCCCAAGGCTTAACCCTTCCTAAGGCTGCAGTGGTGAACATGTTGGCACTTTCCTACCTTGAGGGCCCGACCTGGACAGGGCTCTGTGTTCAGCGGCTTGCATAGCAGGAGAGGGAGGGGCTACTCCAAACAGACCACCCAGCTGTTCCAGGACTAGCTATACAAAGTTGGCTTTTCCACTTTTAGTAACTCTAAAACAGCTGAGCCAAGCAGCGACATTCACTGCTCTGCAGCTACCACTGAGCACAGACCATACCGGGCACTGTGAGGGACAGAGGATGGAACATGGGAGATAGCAGTTGGCTCTGCTCAAGCTGAAAGGACTCTTTATCATCCCTGGCCCCACTCCAGACCCAGGCTGAGAGCATAATATCACCTCCTTCCTTTGAAAGAAAGCTGACGGACAGAGGGTCACGCGGGGAAATGAGGGCAGAAGGTGACCAACCGTGCCAATCTCTTTCACCCTAGTATAAAGCTGTTTGCTAAGAACTCTTGATGATTCACTTATTTATTGATTTACTCTTTTCTGATATGAGCCTTACACATCATAGAGGGGTTTCTATACACTGGCATTTATCCTGTGCCCTGGGGCATAAAGACAGAGGGTGTGCATTCTGTGGTCCAAGGCATTTACTGCGGTCCAGCTTTCTAAACCCACAAAGAAAGGGAGCATCTGGATGGAGACTAAGAGGGTTGAGAGTGGCCTTTTTGTGTCCCCTTGAACAAAACACTGTTCTCTGAACTCTTTTTTGGTAGTGATATTTCATTTTCATCTTAATAAATAAAGCTTGCCTGAAGATCAGAGAGTAAAACAGCCACAGTGGTCAACCATACAAAGCAGGCAGTGGTGGCACACACCTTTAACCCCAGCAGCCACACTACTTAGCCATAGAGGTCTGGTGGTAGTGGTGAATGCTTTTAATCTCAGCACTAGAGAGGAATATAAAATAGGAGGAGACAGCTCTCAGCTGAGTCTCATTCTGAGGATTCGTGGAGACAGAATGACTATTTTGGTTTGAGGTAGAGGTGTGGAGGTAAGAGGCAGTGGCTGACTGCTTTGCTTTTCTGATCTTCAGGTTGAATCCCAATATTGTCTCTGGGTTTTTATTATTCATGCTTCATTTTTTCACCCCCGCTAAGTAGCATAATGGTAGCCCCCACTGAAGACGGGGCTATCTCAATTACTGAATGATAAGACTTGGAGGATACCTAACACAGAGCCTGATACATAGACAATGCTCAATAAAAGGTGTTTTCCAAAGATCCAGGAAAAGCAAGCCAGAAGGCAGGGGGATTGAATGGGCAACTGTTGCTTGTTTGTCTCAAGGTTTGGCCTTCAATATGTTGCACTAAATGCATGCAGAGAATGCTTATAGCTGCAACTAGCTTGAATCCTAAAGAAATAAACAAACAGGGATGTGATTTATTTTCTTCCTGTTTTACAGGCAACAAAACAGGATCGGTGGGTGATAAGAGGCTTCCCACAGCTGTAGGATGCAATTACAGAGCGGCTCAAACTGCTTGTCTTCACCCTAAGCTCCCTCCTTAGACAGAAAGAGATCGGGTGTTATTTTGTTGTGGGAACGGTGGGCAACCAAGGCTTCAGAGGTGACACACAGGGCTCAGAGATGGATAGAGAAGCATTGACAGAAAAACTGTCACTTTGCAACAGATGGCTCCAAGGAAGGCAGTGTCCCTGTCTGTGTTGACTCGCAGGCCAGCAGCTTTCTGGATGGCTCGCTGTGGTCCTACCTAGAGG